TTGTTGAAGACGTATTTGCCCCATCTAGAACAAAATCCAAGATAACAGCTAGAAAAACACAGAAACTTGGGCTTGGCCCTTTCTACAGGAATGAATTTCAGCCTCAGTGTGTTAAAAGGCTTGAACTGTTTGCCACCACAGTGGCAATTTTCACACATCTGTGCAAATAACCCTCTGATTTTTATAAGAATCACTTCATTTGGTAGGACCACAAGAAGCTTTAATGGAGGTGGGCTGCAGTTATCTCAATTTTTACAGAAGCAATCTTGATACCAAAACAACACCTTTTAGGAAAAAAGTCTGAGCTGCATACTCATTAGTTACATGAAAACTATGAAATACAGTGTTTAATATTACTAGGGAATAAGTAAATCTTTTTGTAACTGATTTCTCTTAGCCCCCAATAACAAAATTAGTGAATTCCTCCCCCTTTGTCATGTTAAGAAAAAAGGGCAATGTAGAAACAGGAGTCTGCCTGGTTCAATTTAAAGTATGTGCTTGTTGTATAAGAATGGTAACAGTTTAACGACTATTTGTGATCACCACCTTTATATAACATAGTCTAGCACACTCTGAAATAGAAAACAAATTGCAACCCAGGATAACGGGAAAGAAAATTCCTCTTTAAGTTATTTTCAATGTTTTGGGGCCAGTTCTCGCCACCTTTATTTATGAGAGCAACTCCAATGACCTCACATATGGGAACAGGCCTCACAAGGGATTGCTCAGACACGTCAAGGTTGGGCCAGATCATGTCATCCAGCCTCCACCATATTTCAAACCATGTTTACAACAAAAGCAGCAGCACTTTTTCAACCTCTTTTGCTCCTTTTTTGCTCTGGAACTTCTCCTCCCCGCCCCGCACAAGCACAGCCACAGCTCTCAGTAAGGACTTGCCCTCAGCCACAAGTGCTTCTAAGAAGCTTCTTCAGCTTGCTTATTTATCAGGAATCGGGAGTGCTTTATGCTTTCCAGCTTGTGGTCTTAGAGAAAGAAAACGTCAAAAGGGGAAGAGCAGCAACAGATGAACAGCAAGTGAAGGAACAGGCTGACGCCAGCATCTCCAGGAACTATAATAAACTTCTGCGTTAGCTTTAATTGTAAGTGCAACTACATGTTTTCTTGTACTCGCTGCAGTACTTTTGACTTGCTTTTTTTTATTTTGAAAGAGTCTTTTGGTAACCATGAAACACTCCCAATCTGGCTTCCTGTATTAGAAAACAAAGTGTAAGATGGTATCAAAGCATGCAGTTCTTGCATAACCGTGTTGCAGGGTTTCGTGGGTCTGGTTGTATTCCAGACCCCTGTTCAGCACCTCAACTCATCTGTTACAGAAAGGTTAAACTTGAGTTACTGCAGACCACCACATGATACCATTAGAAAGCTCTCACGCTGATCTTCCTGGCCACATAGTTCATTAGCAATGGCCAGAATCTGCATTTTCTTTGAGTGAGAAATTCCACTTTAAAACACAGGTGTCCTTACACGTAAGCCTACAGCTAGACCAAGGCTTGATTTGGCTTGTAGCGCAACATGCAACACGGCAAAAGATCTGGGCTCAAGAGTACTCATACTCCTCAGGCTGGCGAGGAGGAAAGTTAGCTAGCGCTTCATCAGCAGGAGCACCTCCAAGCAGTCACGGTGTCTTGCCACAGTGAAACTATCAGATACTGGGGGAAGGGACCTTTTACGGGATAAAACAGCAGCCCAGAATGCAGGGGCAGGTGAGACTGACCTGTGATCCCGACTCCCTGTTTGGGGGTGGTCAGAACCCCCTGGGCTTATGCCTTGGGCCAGGATTTGGTGGGCGAGAGAAAGCCCAGGCTCAGATGCATGGGTTACCCTGCTGCAAAAAGACAATATATAATAGAAAGTCTAAGCCAAAGATGTTTGTTTCAGTTATAACAACAAGGAAGACAAACGCTTATAGGAAAAGCAGTGCAAATTAACAAAGGTCAAAATTGCTATTTGGCAAAACACATATTCCCTGGGACCTGTTTTAACACAAGCTCCCAGTTAAACTGTCAGCTTATTCAGAAAACTCTCATTATCATTCCTGGATAACTTTGAGTGACTTTAACAGAAAACTTGTTTTATCAGGCCATTTCATCAACCCTGTTTGTGAAAAAGTAGCTGAAACATTCGGCCTGTTGACATTCCTTCTGTGTGAACTGAACCATCTGCCTTTAGTAAAGAACATGAATTCTGGTTTAAAGCATCCAGAAACAATTAAAAATGTCCCATAAGAGGTTTAGCAGACTCCACAGCTATACCCTTAGCAGAAGCCTTGTTCAAGTATCTGTTAGGTACAAGAGGTCGCACAAAGGCAGGAGCAGTACAGTTTTTCAGGAACTGCCCAATGTGCTTCCAACCTTCCTGTCAGTGCTGCTCGTGAGGGCTGCAAAGCTCAAACCCTGTTCAGTGCTTAGAGATTTTTGCTTAAATGATCAATGGCACAAGTCTCTACCTGGTGTTTGGCTGTATACAAAAAAACCCTTGTGCATAATATGTGCAGTTACTGCAGTATCGTGCATAAGACAAATACTTTTGTAGGCAACTATCAGTGTGCACCTGCTTAAAAAATTAAATCTGCACAAGATATGGCAAAAATGAACCCAATTTTCTAGTGGTTAACTACACTGTCTCTACTACTAATAGGAGACCAACTGTGTCACTCTTTTTCTTACATCTCAACAAGCATGCTTTACTGGACTTCCAAGGGTCACACGGGTGGACTTTCCAAATGCTGTCCACTGTTTTGGAACAGATTTCAATATTCTTCTATATTTTCCAGGTAAGCTAAGAAGGCAAATTTGTCTGGGAAAGGCCTCCATGTATTCTGAGGCATCCTCAAAGCTGGTGCTGCTTTTGATTTTACTAAATGCATAAATGCTGGCCATGGTTAGATCATTCTCAGACCATTTTCTCTGTGCACAAAGGAAGTTCTCTCTCTAACCAGAGCCACTGCGTGCCATCGGGAATTCTCTTCGACCCCCCCTGAATCGGCACAGCACGTGGATCATTCAGTGGGAGCTCTCTCTCCAAGGGGTGACAGGCTTGCCAAGAAGACTCGGACAAGCCATGCGGTCCCATGCAATCCAGGACAGACTCCATCAGGAGAAAGAACATTTCCCTGCCCGGCAGGTCTCTCCCAGGAACACACATGCTGGGCTTCCTCCCTACCAGGCTGCTGCACAGCCCTTGGGAAGTACAAGCCTCTTCCCTCTAGCACCAAGGCTGCTGCTGGGTTGAGACCATAACAAGCAGCAAGAACAAACACAGAGAATTAGGTGGAAATTCAGGGACGCCTTTAAAAGAGAAAAAAAATTACAGGGAAAAAGATTTCCAACTTACACTCTCTCTGTCTACCCACTTATTTAGTGCTTCAAAGTTCTCAGAGCAAATGTATAATATACCAGCTGAGCAGCACAGAGGAAAAAACATGCCCATTGGTGTTATTTGCTTTTACTGAAAACAACACTCTTCCCTTGCAGTTACATTCACTCTAGGCTAAAAAGAGCCGATATGGTTTTATTCTGTATGGACTAATTCAGCGTACACCTCTGCCAAATGACAGAATAATGACATCAGTAACTTAAACTTTTTTTTAAAGAAAAATAAACCAACAAATTTTGTTTAAGAAATACAATTGGAAAATGAAGGAAAGCACAGGACAAGTTTCTAAAGAAGAATGTACAATCTCATTTGTATCCTTGGCACTTTGGTCAGACTAATATTGCTTTTATCAAACTGTCCCATGCAAAGAGAAAAGAAAACAAGCAAAATGACGTTTCAGTAAGAGTTTATCAGCATTAAGATCAAAAACACAGTGGCATTTGACAGAAACTCCTCCAAGGGATCTGGGGCTAAAATTTCTGGTTTCGTGTTGCCATTTTGACCATGCAATGTTATAATTGCAATGTGCATCACACTATTATTTCTGTAACTTGTAACAAAGAGTCTTCTCTATGAACCTTTCTGAGCCTATTCACCTCAAGACAGGGCACTGCAGGTGGAAGAAAAGTTTCAGAACAAACTCAAAATCCCCAAACTGAAGAAAGCAGGGCCCAGAGAGCAGTTAGCATTATTAGTTTCCAGCAGGGTCAGTATCAAGCCCACTTGCCCACACAGGTGCAAAGTTAGTACTAATGGTACAGGGAAAGGACACTGTCATGGCCACTATGGTCAAAGAAGGAGTCATTCTCGTGTGGCGTAAGTGCTGTAAGAGCAGGCCAGTGCTTGACAAGCCCAGAGATTATGTTTCCAGCCATTCACCGTTCATTCATGAAAGGAGCCTGAACCAGCAGGCGTAAGTACATAAGAAAGGCTCTTT